TTCTTCTTTTTGGCAACCCCGTAAACGGCCTAAGCTCTTCGGTTTTTAATTAATTGTATAGATAGTTATTTTATCTAGACATTAATACTTTCTTATGTTCTAGTTTGCATTTCACTTAGCTGGGAGAACCTTCTTCTTCTCATTTCAAAATTGCCTTTTTCAGCTTGAAGGGTTAAGGGTCACTGAATTCTAGTTACAAATAGGAAAGCCTGAAGAATGGCAATGGCAATGTGGCCTGGGTGTGGTCCTGCTGTTCACTAATACAAACTCACAGGGCCAGAACCCCAGGCTGAGATGTCTGGGTAGCATCATGGACTGGATTTATTGTTAGTGGTTATTCTGTGATGATAGCTAATGCTTCCTGTGGCCCTTGTCCATGCTATTAATCATTTGACCTTGCTAGGCTGGCCTGATGGACCTGCACATCTCAGGCTACTTGGGTGGAAGAAGCAGACTTTCTCCTTTATTGGTCTTGGGCCAATAAAAAGAATTTGGTAGCTGCAGAAAGGTTAGATTGCAATGAATTTCCAAATGGTTATTCTCAGTTGACTTGGAAGAGGCAGGGGGGTAGTTTACAGACTGACGTTGGGCCGTTTTGCATATCGTACAGAACACTCAGAGAAATAATCGCCTTAGCAAAGCACAGTCGCAGGCCACTTCCTGGGAATCCGTGTATCAAGTTAGGCTTAATTTGATTGCCGAGGCCTTCGGAAAAAAAGAAGTTGGTCTTGCTTTGTGCCTTGGATGGATTTTAACTCTCTTCTGTCAATTTATCCAAGGAGACACTAAAGCTGGTGTCATTCTTCCAATGATGTCTGCGTATTCACTATGTTGCATGAGAAACAGACCTTCCATTTCTTGCCACAGTTTCTCTCAGGAGCTCTGTTGGCTTAGTGGTAAGGACTTGTGTTTCCAACTCAAAGACATGCAGCTCTATGGGAGGGTGGGCAGTCTCCTTCCATGTCTTTCACTGCCTCTGAACACACGCTGGAGGGGCCGCTATGGGTCAGTTCCAACTCTACAGAACACCACAAAAGCAATATAGTTTCTCTACTTTGTAATGCTGATCCTTCCAGAAAATCTTCATCAAATCTGGGTGAAGATGCTCCTTTCAGAAGAACTTTGGTGGCACCTAATCACTGGATTCAGATGGTGCCCCGTCAGGGCATCTGACTCCAGATTGAAAGCATGATGTAGATATTTGTCTTGTTCCCAGATACATTTGCTTGCAAAGATGTTATGTGGGTTTTAGATGGAATTATACATTGCGACTTCTTTTGCCGTTCTAAAGGAAGCCTCTCTTTCAGGATTAAAGCCACCAGCAGAGTTCTCCATCTTGCTTACGTGAACCTCTTCCATCACAAGTGACGTGTTTTGACGTTAACTGTCTCCTTTTTAGCATAGACAAACTCTCAGGACTCAAAGAGAGTCTGGAAGGCAGTGGTTTCAGAAATAACAGCCGGCATTGTGGCGAGCCAGGAGAAAAGAGAAACCATATGGGTTTGCTGTGTAGCATGGTGAGAAAGGAGACAGAGTGATGAAAATGAGATGCCTCAGGTGGGTTTGATCAGTTGCTATGGTTTCCAAGGCATATTTTAATACCGGAGGCTCCCAGCTGTGTAAGCACATTATCGAAGTGCAGATTAGGTGCAGGCTACCTGGGAAGAGAGAGGACTGCTCACATTGGGGTGGGCAAGCTGGACAGTTTGAGCCACTCAGGGTATCAACACTGGTTCCCTGTTGTTCATTCATGGCTGACAGCAAACCTGAAACAACCCTAAATTTGTAAAATGTGAATAAACTCGAGCAATAACTAGAATGGGGAAAGCGATGCATCAGGGCCCTGCTAGAAACTTTTCTCTCTTTGAAAACAAGGGCAGAGTCCATGTTTGCCTAACTACCAAATCTCTTGACTGACAGAGTTGAAAACAATGGTGCCCTACTCAAAGATGGACCCTGAGCACACGGCTTTGAATGAATGCCACACTCACCAATCCTGGCAGTAATCCAGGCTCCTGTCTCAGACTCCAGACAGAGCTCATTGCACTTCTTCCAAATCTCCCATTCCAGAGTTTCAACTTGTAATTCACCCCCATCCCCCAATACTGGCTATCATCTCATGTCATTCAAATTCAAAAGTTTGAGTCTGTTTGATGTCATTGTCCATGACTGAGCCACTTTAAAGCCCTGGAATGACAATCCACATTGAAGGGTGTAGTAAAGAGTGATAAATACCTGGCTGTGGAAGCCAGACCTGTGCGACTCTTTGCTGTCTCTGGCTCCATGTGCACACCTGGGAAATGACATCATGACATGGCAGTTACTGTAGGTAACCTTGGAGGCAGAATATTGTGGTTCAGGTCCAAGACCCTAATTGAGTGTCTTAAGAACCATCATGAATCATGTTCTTTGTCCCTTTCTTTGCCTCTGGTGTTTCATCTGTTAAACATTTGTTTCCCTCTGGAACCTGTCAGGCCATTCAGATGAGATTATGTAAAAGTATTTCTCTATTTACTCAAAGCCCCTTATTTTTTTACAAAAGGGTGGCAGGGTGGGAATGTGAGGGGAAAGCCATTGCTGTTTTCAGAAACAACCCACCCTCCTTGCCACTGGGCTCTACAAGCCCTGGGAAGAGACGTACGTCATTCTTCCATGATGCTGCTTGTAGATACCAACTGCCAGAGAGGCACGACCTTTGAATTAGCAGTGCAGCTCCCTGGAGACAGTGCCCCCAGAGCTATTCATAATATGAGTAATAATTAATGAAATGATAATAATTGCCATCGATAATATTTTTTAAATGGTGACTATAGGATCATTTGGAATCTCCATGTACCCACATTATGATAAGGGAGCTGGGTGACAGTACTTGAATAACAGCTTTGTCTGTGAGAGTTTAGGGGTCCGTGGCATTTTGTGTAGGGAATGCTCACCCACACACAGAAGTGGTGGTGCTGCTGCGGCTGTCAGGCTGGTTGAGACTCACAGTAACTGCCATGTATGCAGAGTAGGACCCTGTGTACAGAATGTTCCCCTAGAGTTTTCAAGGCTGGGACCCTCTGTAAACAGATCACCAAGATAGACTGAAAGCCTATTAAGTCCGAGGAGTTGGCCTCATAAGGAAAAGCAAGTATTTCACTGTCAGAGTTTTTTTAAAAGCTAATATAAACAAAGACAGGCATCTCCATATACACAAACTGTCAAAATTCACACCAAAAAATCATGGTTCAGAAAGAATCTTGTATCTGAACACTGAGGACTTTCCCCTGCCGAGAGCGTTTTTCCATTGCACAGAGTTCCCTTATCTTCCTTACCCCAGGAATTTAAGATTGCTACAATACTATTAACTGCAGTTTCAGGCTTTTTTAGACTTTTACCATTCTCCCTCTCCCACTATCGCCAGGATCCCACATGCATTTGCTGTGTCATTTTTTGTTCCTGCCAATATTTAACAGTATTTATCAGTGTTCTTTATCCTGTTTTGCTTTTGTTACTTTTTAAGTCCCTGCGGAATGCACTTTAAAGTATACTGGCCATTATTGTGTTGACTATCCCTGAGTTTGGGTTGTGTGAACCTTTCTGACGATTAGATTGAGGTTATAAATTCTCTTCAAGTGTGTCGCCAGGTGATAGCATGCCCGTCCCCGTGCATCCTTCCAGGAGGTTCCTGATGTCAACATGACTTATTACTGGTGATTTTAACTTGGATCGCTTGGTTGATCAGGGTCGTTTCTTCTGGGTTTTCCCACTGAAAAGGTTATGATGTTTCCCTGTATAATGAATATGTATCCTGTCATTTTGTTTTTAAGGAAGTTTTGTGCTTTTTGAAATTGATGGTCAGGCTGCTGCAAGTGTCGTCCACAGACATTTGCACAGTGTCCTGTCCTGTTAGCAGAAATGCTGCCCCAGAAAATGATGGAGTCATTATTTGAGTGCCTGAATAGATTGCTCTCAGTCCATGCTCAAATGGATTGCCTGGAATTACAGTGTAGGATTTCTAAGTCCTACCTCCAGGCAAATCTCATAGTTACTAGCAAAAATGAAAGTGTAAAATGCTTTTTAATGTATATTTAACAACACATAGTCTGGTGATTACTGATGTGTATTCTCTGTGGACTCTCTTTGCCATCAGAGGAAGATGTTAAAGAGACAACATTTTCTCACATTTATTCTATCTAAATCCATCACATGTTTACTTTTTAAACATCTATAACTGTCATGTATAACCAGATCCTAAAATGCCAAATACTTTAAGTCTAAATCAAACTTGGAATCATAGGATTGCAATCAATTTTTAGGAAAAGTACAATTACTTTTCTCAAGTGATTTTTTTTTTTTACTTTGCTCTACGTTATTGAGTTGCTTACTATTTAATGATACTAAAATATAGCCATTAATAAAGGAAGGAAAAATACAGTTTAGTAATGGAAGTGTGAGAGGTAAGAATACTTTATCATTTGATTCACAAATTCACATACCACCTCTTTAAAGGAATTTTTTTTCACAGCTGAATTCAGTGTCACGTCTGCTTGTGTCAAAGAACTAAATTTTTCAAAATTACTTAATTTCTTCTCAGGGTGTCACTCTGTAATAAGGATTAAGGCACCCTTTTGCTTTGCATTTATAGTGGGTTACACAGCAAGAGTGCCTGTCTTATACTAATACATGCTAAATAGTTGCTTAGTGTATAGAGCACTTTGGTTGAAATAGCTGCATTGAAGGCATTTTTAGATCACGGAGCCCCAGTGGTCTACATTGTGTTTGCTTTGACGTTATTAAACCCAATCTGTTTCATTAGCTGTGACTCTAATGACTGTATTTGCATGACAAAAGAGTTTGCTTTGTGGGTCGACTTTTATGAGTAAGGTTTGCATGTTGCTTTCTGCTCCTGCGCCCTGTGCTCCAGGAGCAGTCAGAGCACCTTCAAGTGCCTTGAATAATTATGCACAATCAATAAGTTTTTGTGTTTGTCTTTGTTGTTTCTTTGATGTGGCCTCTAGGATGCTGCCGGCAAGGTTCTGGACCGCTGGGCTATCATGTCTCGAGAAGAGGAAATTATCACCCTTCAGCAGTTTCTGCGCTTTGGAGAAACCAAGTCCATTGTGGAGCTGATGGCGATTCAAGAGAAAGAAGGACAGGCCGTGGCCGTGCCGTCTTCAAAGACAGACTCCGATATCAGGACTTTTATTGAGAGCAATAACCGCACCAGGAGCCCCAGCCTCCTTGCCCACCTAGAGAACAGCAATCCCTCCAGCATCCACCACTTCGAAAACATCCCTAACAGCCTTGCGTTTCTGCTTCCATTCCAGTACATAAACCCGGTCTCAGCCCCACTGCTGGGGCTCCCTCCAAACGGCCTTCTGCTGGAGCAGCCAGGGCTGAGACTGCGTGAGCCAAGCCTTCTAACCCAGAACGAGTATAATGAGAGCAGTGAGTCCGAAGTGTCCCCCACGCCTTATAAGAACGATCAGACACCCAACAGAAATGCGCTGACCAGCATCACAAATGTGGAGCCCAAAACCGAGCCAGCCTGCGTGTCCCCCATTCAGAATTCTGCCCCGGTCAGTGATCTCACCAAAACAGAACACCCAAAAAGCTCATTCCGGATTCACCGAATGAGGAGGATGGGCTCAGCCTCCAGGAAGGGGCGAGTGTTCTGCAACGCATGTGGCAAGACTTTCTATGACAAGGGGACGCTCAAAATCCATTACAACGCCGTGCACCTCAAGATCAAGCACCGCTGCACCATCGAGGGCTGCAACATGGTCTTCAGCTCCCTGCGCAGCCGGAACCGCCACAGTGCAAACCCCAACCCCCGCCTGCACATGCCCATGCTGAGGAATAACCGAGACAAGGACCTGATCCGGGCCACGTCAGGAGCTGCCACCCCTGTCATAGCAAGTACAAAGTCAAATCTCACCCTCACGAGCCCTGGCCGGCCCCCCATGGGATTTACCACTCCCCCCTTAGACCCCGTCTTACAGAACCCCCTCCCTAGCCAGATGGTTTTCTCCGGGCTGAAGACGGTCCAGCCCGTTCCTCCCTTTTATAGAAGTTTACTCCCTCCGGGGGAGTTGGTGAGTCCCCCCACGTCCCTCCCAACCAGTCCCATCATTCCCACCGGGGGTGCCCTGGAACCCCACCCCCCACCACCCTCTGAGCCAAGCGCGCCTGCAATGATGATGGCCACCCATGAGCCCAGTGCTGACCTGGCGCCCAAGAAGAAGCCCAGGAAGTCCAGCATGCCTGTCAAGATCGAGAAAGAAATCATCGACACAGCCGATGAGTTCGACGATGAAGACGACGACCCCAACGACGGCGGGGCCGTGGTCAACGACATGAGTCATGACAATCATTGCCACTCCCAGGAGGAGATGAGCCCAGGGATGTCTGTGAAGGACTTTTCCAAGCATAACAGGACCCGGTGCATTTCAAGGACTGAAATCCGAAGGGCCGACAGTATGACTTCGGAGGACCAGGAGCCAGAGCGGGACTACGAGAACGAGTCAGAGTCATCGGAGCCCAAATTGGGCGAGGAGTCCATGGAAGGTGAGGACCACCTGGCCAGCGAAGTGAGCGAGAAGGTCCTGATGAACAGCGAGCGGCCCGATGAGAATCACAGTGAGCCCTCCCACCAGGACCTCATCAAGGTGAAGGAGGAGTTCACAGACCCCACCTACGACATGTACTACATGAGCCAGTATGGACTGTACAACGGTGGGGGGGCCAGCATGGCTGCGCTGCACGAAAGCTTTGCCTCTTCTCTCAATTACGGCAGCCCCCAAAAGTTCTCCCCAGAGGGTGACCTGTGTTCTAGCCCAGACCCCAAAATCTGTTACGTATGCAAGAAGAGTTTCAAAAGCTCCTACAGCGTGAAGCTTCACTACAGGAACGTGCACTTGAAAGAGATGCACGTGTGCACGGTGGCCGGCTGCAACGCTGCCTTCCCCTCGCGCCGGAGTCGAGACAGGTCAGTAAATGTCCATGGGCGGCGGCGGCTGGGGGTGGCGGGTTCCCGTGCCAGCCACGGTGGCCTGCACGCGTAAAAACATGCCTTAGTTGTCATTGCTACACTGTGATGAGTGTCTGCGGTGACCACATGATGACCAAGCTGCCATTGCTCATGAAGGCTTGTTGCCGTTGGGGGTGTTGTGATTGAGCATGCGGAATCCTGTGCCATCTTGCCAGTAATGCACGCCATTCTTTGTGCGCTGTGTCCTGTGCGTGTGTTATGTGTGTGTTCCCGTGCATCGAGGTGTGTGAGTTCACTCTTTACTCTGTTCCCTGCTTCCCCATGAACCTTCACTTAGAAGCCGCAGCTTCTGTTAACGTATATATTGAAATAATGCTGCTTTGACATGTGGCTTTTTTAATGAAATCAATATATTATCTTCATACACACATATTTATCCAATATAGAAACAGAAATTTACGGATGGAAAGAACCATAGGTCCAGGACATCGAGACAGCCTGCATCTCCGTAGGTATAACCAGAAATGTTATCATTCCTTACATGAGTTTTGAGTTTGTCCATGAATTCTTTAAGATGATAAAAATATCAGGAGAAAATGGAACCAGAGAAATTGTTGATACGGGGAAAGGGTGGACGGGTGTGGGTTTCCTCATTTTCACTTCACAGTGCCTTTGAGATCATCTCTAAAATGTGGTCGCCCATGGGAATAATGCATGGAGACAAGTCTTACATACACGTTTAATATCAGTTAGAATGTATTACGTCCAGCCCTTGGATGACCTCACACTTCAGCTATGTAGCAGCAGCTCTGAAACAGTTGTGCTTAAACAGACGCAGCTGGTCTTAAACCTACACTGTGCATTTTGAATCCTAAAGCAAATGTAATGGAAATGGAATGTGTCAAGGTGGTCAGTCTGGAGGAAACCTGGTGTCCTACAGCTGAGCTGTCCTGTTGAATCCCCCAGCAGCCCAACTACTGCCAGACGGCAGTGAGGTCTTCCTCCTGGATGGAGTGTTTTCTTGACTCTACATCATCTGTATTTACAGTAAAAATTTAAAAATAATTTTAGAGTAAAACTTGTTGTTAGATGTCATCAAGTCAGCTCCCACTCATAGTGACCCCTTGAACAATTGATCTGAACCTTGCCCTGTCCTATAAGAAAAGCATGCTTCAAACGCTGTATGCACAGAGGAACAAAGGAAACTTAGAAATTTCCAGTAGCCACCAATCAAATTGTAGTCCTCGTTAAGTTGACAAACTAACTTATAATAGTAGTGTTATGACTAAGAAGTTACCTGTTTCAATTGTGTTTAAAAGATCAATTCCTTTTTTATTGAAATTTGAGGGAAAGTTTATACAACAAATTGGTTTTCCATGCATCCACTCAAGTTGTTTTATAACATTAATCATAATACACACAATGTGTTCATACTTTTCCTCTTTCTCCCCTGTTATTCCCATTTCCATTAATCCTTCTACCTTCTAAACTTTATCCTTAAGCACACAGTGCTGCTTTGACCTTGTGTGGTTGCTTATTCTAAGATGATTATTCTAATATCCTTGGTATTATTCAACTCCTTTTTTGGATAAAAGTTATCTAACTCTTCCCTATAAAATAAAAAATTATTCCATCTATAAAAGATAAATTTCTAAGGAAGAAATCATATAATTTGTACAACTCAAAACTGTGAAGATAAATCTGTCTTAAAGATTTTTCCAACTCCATTTCAGTTTACCTTACTCTGTAAAAATATCTGTGGCCACAGAGTTCTTTTCCATCCAAAGTTACCAGTGACTCTGTCAGATAAGATAGCTGTATACTTTGAATAATAAAAACATAATGCTGTAACCAGCCTTCCCCACAACATTTGTGAGTAATAGTCATTCTTTTAAATTTGAAATAGTACACTAGTGATAATGAGGTTAATGCATTGGATTTTTTTTTCCATACAAGAATAAAGACTCATGAAATCCTGCATAAAATATTTATGGAAATGGAGTGTTTGAAGACAAGCCAAAATTTAAGATTATTTGCAAGGATTCCTATCAGTTTAGGTTGGTTTGCGGAAAATACTGCAAACCCTCAACCTGGAATAAATAGCTTTGGAGCCAAGATGCTACCCGCCCAGAAGTTGGCACTTTCATTTATGTCAAACCACCAGAAAACACAAGTGCTTGTGTTTTTATGTCCTCAAGCATGAGGAGATAGTGGTGAATACCCAGGTGGCCTGTGGGGAGAGCGGAGGAACCGTTGATAGCAGGAGAATATTTGAAGCTCAGCTCTGGTTCTAAGGCTTGGGAGCTTGACCAGCCGTAGAGACGTTTATACCACCATCTATTCTGGGTGTGAAGAAAAGTACAAATATTCTTTGTGTGAACTCAGTCAGGTAGGAAATGCAAAACTTCAAAGTCAGGCAGTTGATACATTTCAGTTAGGTGAGCTTTGTATTGTCATCCCACTGAATTATTTTTTAAAATTGTGTCTAAATGATAAAAGAAGAAAACCAAGTTCAAACATAGAAAGTAGTAGAATTATTTTCTTTTCCTTATTCTCACCTGAAATAATGGCTTCTAAAAATATAAATTCTAAAATTCTGAAACTTTGAAGATTTTTATCTCAGGTTTAAAACTTCTATTTTAAAAAAATTTACTTTTTCAGAAGAAATACTCTTATCCTTATCTGTGACTTGAATCAAGACAGAGCACAAGTTTAGCTACCACTTTGTAACCTCTATGTTGGGAGCTCTGGTGGCCTAGTGGTAAGGCAGTGCTTTGCAATCCCAAAGGCACACAGTTCAAATCCACTGGCTGTTCTGTGACAAGGATGGGCAGCATCCTCCTGTGCAGTTAACTGGCTCTGAAAACCTGCTCACATGTCAGCTCAGTGACACACAGCATCAACAGCATATAGTCAGAAGCAGTGCGTCATGGGGTCCCAGCTTCTCCATGCATTTGAGCAAAGTGGTCTTCACCACATAACTCTATTCTTGCTTCAGTCTTTTATCCTTGTTTCATCAAAATATTCATGAAGCCTCCTGGGTCACATGTCTGATTTTCCCTGAAGCTTATCTGTGTTAGTCACAAGAACCTAAGGAAGTCGGTGCCTCTGCTTTTTGTGTGAAGCAGAGATGTGTTTTCTTACCGTTCGCTGAGTGAACAGACCTTCCCAAACAGAAGCTCCTCTCTATCTTTGATCCTGCTGTCCTCAGGCCCATTTCTTTCCTCTCCCCAGAGCCTTGCTTTATCCATCCTTGACTCCACAGCATCTTCCTTGTGCAAATAAAGCATTAGAGGGGATTTTGAGTGTGGTCTAGACTGTGCAAAGCTACAAGCATCCTAGGATGCCTGCAGTGGAGCTAACAGAATAACCATCTTTCCTGCTTTTTATAAAATCACCCCTCATCTTTGTGTTCACAGCATATTACAGGAGTCATACAGAGGCAGAGCTACTGTTCTTCCAAGTTACGTGTGACTTTTGTCTGTAGATAGGCTTCATGGTAAGAGGGGGGAAGAAGACACAGGCTAAAGACTGTTTCAGATTTGATAGTAAAGACTCCTTTCTTTGTGTATGGCCTTTATAGATGTTACAAGGTCAAGGTGAAGGAATGGTAAGTAAGCGTGTTCTTTGTATATTGCCATCAAAATGAGGGGTGAGGTAGTAGACACATGTGAGGGTTGAGATTCCTCAATACGGTATTGAAGATACCCTTTTCTTAACAGTTGTAAAGGAGAGTGAGGGTAATAATTCAGAAGCAGAGGAGACCATTTTACACTAATAAAAAAAGAGCTAGCTAACATACAAAGCCCAGCTCTTGCCTCCCTCCATCCACTAGATAACTGGTAGAATAATTTTGAATAAGAGACTTGAAGTGGGAATTATATTCTCTCAGAAGAATTATCAGGATTAGAGGAAGACGCATCAACAACCTGCATTATGCTGATGACACAACCTTGTTTTCTGAAACAGCAGAATCTGAGATGTTAGCTGTAAAAGTGCTGCTTGAAGGACTGTAGTCTTCAATATGGATTGAAGCCCAACATCAAGAAAACAAAGATTCTCACCACTGGGCTAATTGGTAGCACCAGGATAGATAGACTGGATAGGATAGGGTGGGGTAGGTTAGGGTAGGGTAGGGAAGGGTTTGTTAGCAATTTCAGCTTGCTTGGTTCCACAGTCAACACTCTTGGCACCAGCAGTGAGGAAATCAGAAGACAAATTACACTGGGAAAATCTGTCAGGGACCTCTCCTGAGTACCAAAGAACAACAGTGTCAGTCTAGAGACTAAGGTATGCCTTATCCAAGCCGTGGTCTTCTCACCGTGGTCTTCTCAATGACTTGCTATGCAGAAGGGAGCTGGACAGTGGCTAAGGATGAGAGAAGAATTGATGCCTTTGAGTTGTGGTGCTGGAGAAGAGTATTAAACATACCATGGACTGCTAAGAGGACAGATCTGTCCTGGAGAGGGAGAAACCAGGCTGCTCCTTGTAGGCTGGGATTTTGAAGCTCCATCTCTTATATGTTGGGCAAGTTACCAAAAGGGTCTAGTCCTCAGAGAAGGGCATCATGCTTGGAACGGTGGAAGGACAGTGCAGGAGAGTAAGACCCTGGATGAGATGGCTTGACTCAGTAACTGGGCCACTGGGAAATGTGTGTAGGAATCAATGAAATTGACTCAAGATAGGGAAGGGTTCAGAGCTGTTGTACATAGGATCGCTGTGAGTTGCAGGTGACTCAGCGGCACAAAACAAGGCTGTTGGCTGAAGTAGTAAAATGTATAGTGATAACACTTGTGTGTATTAGACTTGAGTCCTTTCTTCCTCTTTTCTTGTCCCTCGATATTTCTGCTATTGAGATGTAGAACTTTCAGGAATAAGGACATCTAATAACATCTAATAATATTTGTTCTGGCGTTCCATAGTTGACCCTTCAGCAATTTTCAGAGGCAGTTAATCACATGGGAGGAAATTGTCCATCTTTTTCCTGCAGAGCAACT